TTCATTAATATGTAGATAGGGGAGTAGGTAAAGCAATTTGTGAGTTGCAATATTGATGTCTTATAGAGTACTAGCCCAACTTGCAGTTAGGGAGTCTACCCTCAGATTGTTGAATGACCAAAATGTTCCACAATCAATTTTAGATATACAATCATGTATTTTGAAAAATGCACCAAGTGTAGTGGGTAGATCCATTGTTCTTTTGAAGAGTTTTGAAGATACTTTGTTCTCTCCCCATAGCGATCAATATCCTTTGACTCAGAAGTGGAGACTCCTAGAACCATCTTACCACAGTTTGTCAGCCCTGACAGCAGCTTTGTCAAACCCTCGTCACCCACTCCTGAACCCAGCCACGTCTTCTGCTGCACAATTGAAGGATGTAATGCGGTAAGTTTCAGGGCTTTGCTTTTCGCACAATTTATCATCATGGCATATATTTTTTAAAAGGGAGTGCAAAGCCAACCATATTTATATTTCAGTCCATACCATGGTATGGATGAAATATATTGTGTTCCCTCATGTTTCTCCTTCTCCTCCTTCTCCTCCTGCCACTCGTTCAGAGGGATTCAACTCCGCCATCATTCAGCCAAATGACTTGAAATTTGGCATTGAGGTAGAGTGGGCAAATACCCCCAGACGTTTTTTTTTTCATTTTTTTGAAACATGCCTTTGAAAAATTTTTATGAAGGTTTTTTGGGACATTTTTCGACAAAAAATGGATTTTTGGATCCTGAGCCCTGGTATTACAACCAAATGATATGACATTCAGTATAAGGGTACCTTGAACGTGTGTCTACAGATTAGCAGTCATGTATTTGGCATACATCACTTCCAAATGACTCATTTGGGGGACTTTAATGGCTATTTTCAGCAAAAAAAGGGCCAAAAGTGCTATACCCGTTCCATGTTCTATCTATAGAATGGCCGGTTCCATCCATGGAACACGTGTTCCATTGCGGGTTACCTGAGGTCACATTGCACCTAAGTGGTGCGTAATGACCCACACATTCAATTTTATGTGCCTAAGACCTTCAAAATGTATCAAATCTCATCATTGTTAGTTTTTGCATACCTGTAATAAGATTTGTAAAGCTTTCGAGATTCAAAGTAGAGTCCATTCCGCGTCACCGAGTGGGTTGTTATTGTCATTATTTAGAAATGTTTTGAATTCTTTGTAATTGTTTGTCTAAGAAATTTCATAAT